GTGTACAAGAATAAGAGGTAGTAGCAGAGTTATTGATCACTATGCAACAATGAGGCACCAATACCCACCCTTGATAGCCAGCTTGCAGGGTTGCACTTGTGTGCCCATATCGTTGACGCCCCAGCAAGACAGAGTCCTGTCCTCGCCTCCTGGGTACGGTCTCACCGTCAGTACTGCCCAAGACACCTCGTTCTTGACGTTGGTGGGGGCGCTGCTGCTCACCTCGTCATTGTTCTTCCATTGCCAGTGGATGCAGCTGACAGGCGGATGTGAGGTCACTGTACAAGTGATGTTGATGGGCTTGTCGTAGATGAAGTATGTGGTGAGTGATGTCAAACATTCCGGCTTATCTGTCGAGTGCGAAACAACGTGCCGTATTTCTCTAATTTTCTTTTATTTTTATCGTTGCGACGTTTCCTTCCGGGGCAAAACGACTAACTGACCGGGACTTCGGGAGAGGTTTTTCAAACCGGGACAATGCCGGTCAAAACAGGGCGTACTGTAAGCCTACATATATCCAGAGTATTCAACACAACACGAGGTTCTGAAGCCTACATCACGAACAACAATCAATGAGAAATTTTGCCCTACACCTCCCTTAAAAACAAAGATCCAAAACCTATACAAAAAAAGTTTGTTCCGATGTTTGAGCTCAATTAATGAAGATCATTCTGGTCGTGTTAAAACGATCTAAACAGCTTCCTACACTGACTTCAAACTTGACAGGATAGCGAGCGTCACTCACGCTACCACACAATAAACATATTTTTCTTTGAATAAACAGTATGGTAGACGAACTGCTGTCTGCAGAGTAACAGTCCGTGGCTGTACCGAGCCAGCTGTCCAGGCCTCTTAACACCAAGGATTCGAACTGATACTGTATTATATTCTGTCAGAGGCTACCATCTGCGACACAAGTGAACTCCTTCCCTCAGCCCAAGAGCTTTAGTAGATCTATTCTTATCCCTCCCCCCTCCCCCTCCCCCCTCCCCCTCCCCCCTCCCAAAGCCTCATCATCTATGGACTCAAATTGTAAATAAACAACTGTAAACAAATAAACCAACTTCTGTTTATTCATTAACATTTATTTATTACAACTTGAGTACATATTTTTCTATAATATTAATTTATATTTTTTAAATGACGTTTTTATCAATTGATATTATTTTTGTTAGTGAAAAATTGGCTGTTGATAATTGTTATTGTTATTATTATTAATTATTATTATTATTATTATTATTATTAATAATAATAATAATTATTATTATTATTATTATTATTATTATTATTATTATTATTATTATTATTATTATTATTATTAATTATTATTATATTATTATTATTATTATTATTATTATTATTATATTATTATTATTATTATTATTATTATTATTATTATTAGCGTTTACCCGGGCCAGACGAAGTCTCTCGCTAGTTATAAAATAGCATCTATACATTTCTATCAAAAAAATATACAGCAAAGGTGAGAGCTACAGGAACATAACTGCAAGTCTGGCTGCCAGTCTTTATTTCTGCTACATACCAAGTCTTAGTATCATGTTGACACTAGTGCTTACCCAGGACACAACAACACATTACACAATATGATTGTAATATCTTACTGAGATTACAGAATATGATCGTAATATCTTACTGAGATTACAGAATATGATCGTAATATCTTACTTAGATTACAGAATATGATCGTAATATCTTACCGAGATTACAAGAAGGTTTAAGACCAGTATTATTTTTGTTGAGAAATACGCGTAAAGCACGTGTAATGGATCATTTAGGAGTGATCAAAGAAACACGTCGAGCTTATTGTAATTTGAGGCAGGAAAGAGATCGAATTTTATTGTGGGCACATAATATTATGTATTAAATCAGTCTGCAGCTCCTTTATTCTGACTCCCCCCAAAATAATAATGATTTTAATCCAAAAGGTAAAACTGTTACGAAGAAAATGACAGACAAAAATGAACATTATTATTTACTAGGATAGAAAAGATGGGCTTTTGTTTGATACGAAAATCCTATTTTTTTTTCTTTTGCTAATGCAACTGAAATGTAAGAATTCCACAATCAGCATTACTAAATGTGTTTAATAGTGTTATTACAAACAATAATCAGTCAAAAGACAAGTTGCAAAAAATTTCGAGCCTATTATTTAAAAATACTATTATTATTCATACGACTAAAAATAAATCCGAACTGCTATTATAACAAATATTTCAGTAGCATTGTCTGGCAAGAGTTTGTTATAATTTTTACATTTGATCCTGAGCAGGGCCGGAGCGCTGACCACCCTGGCGAGAGGGTTGGCTGCGCCACAACGATAGTGACCAGCTTGGTGTCTGCTGACCCCCTGTAACACCAGTGAGTCTCCACTCATCACAACACCTCCACTCACGTTCTGCACCATCACACGGCCCTGGGAGAGACAGTTAAGTTAGTCTAGGTGAAAGGATACAAGTGCAACTAATGTGAAATTTGATTGTAGAATTAGTTGCGCCTGTGTCATTTATCTAACAGATTGTCGTTAATTCTACCAACATTATTGTACATAGTTATGTTATATTAATATCTCAGTCCCTTTAAGACCATAGGAATATAATAAAGGAACACTGTAGTAGACCTTACTTGCTTATGCTAAAAATCCCAGTCATACCCAAGCACACCCACCCATTCACTCTATATTAAAAGTTACCCCAAGTTCTCGCCTCAATGACGCTACCTGTAAATTTGTTCTATTCATCTACGACTTTAGCATTAAGCAAGTACTCTTCAGCATCCTTTCTAAATCTAAGTTTGTTCAACTTGAATCCATTTATACACTTCATTTTTTTCTCCCTTAATTGTACGTCTTTCCAGAGAGAACAAGTTCAGTTTCTAATATATGGAATAAACCTCGTTATCTTCTGTATATTTTTCCTGAGCATTTATATACATTATGTAATATGGAAACCAGAACCGAGCAGCATAATGAGTCAACACTTACAAGATTTGTGAAAAAAAGACACTTATTTACAGCTCAGGACATTTATTAGGGGAAACGTTTCGCCACAAGTGGCTTCTTGGGACTGAAGAAGCCTTTCGTGGCGAAACGTTTCCTCTAATAAATGTTCAGAACTGTACATAAATGCCTTTTTCCACATCTTGTTGGTATCACCAGACCATTTTTCTGTATGATGGTTTGCTATGAACTATCTAAACAATATATGAATTACCATTATCATAATACTGGGAAGCGCTAAATCCGTACCGGTCACAGCTCACAGAGATAAGAGTTAATCAGATATCGTCTGAGCAACAGGAGGGGTAACTCTAATGCCTTGGATCATAAGTCCTTCAACAATCTTAATTCATTTTTCTTAAAGGGGATGTCCAGACAAGATAATGAAACATGGTACATAATAAACGTAGAGTTACAACTAAAGTTTAAGAAGTTACAGCTGGATAACAGTGTCACGGCTGGTTCCAGAAGTAACAGCTGGTTGAGCACTATGCCACAGCTGGTTCAAGATGTTAGAGATAAAGTTTAACACAGTGTCACAGTTAGTTCAAGAAGTTAGACATGAAGTTTAACACAGTGTCACAGTTAGTTCAAGAAGTTAGACACGAACTTTAGCACTGAGTCACAGTTAGCTCAAAATGTTAGACATGAAGTTTAACACAGTGTCACAGTTAGTTCATGAAGTTAGAAATGAACTTCAGCAGTGTCACAGTTACTTCAAGAAGTTAGACATGAACTTCAGCAGTGTCACCGTTAGTTCAAGAAGTTAGACATGAACTTTAGGAGTGTCACAGTTAGTTCAAGAAGTTAGACATGAACTTTAGGAGTGTCACAGTTAGTTCAAGAAGTTAGACATGAACTTTAGGAGTGTCACAGTTAGTTCAAGAAGTTAGACATGAACTTTAGGAGTGTCACAGTTAGTTCAAGAAGTTAGACATGAACTTTAGGAGTGTCACAGTTAGTTCAAGAAGTTAGACATGAACTTTAGGATGTGTCACAGTTAGTTCAAGAAGTTAGACATGAACTTTAGGAGTGTCACAGTTAGTTCAAGAAGTTAGACATGAACTTTAGGAGTGTCACAGTTAGTTCAAGAAGTTAGACATGAACTTTAGGAGTGTCACAGTTAGTTCAAGAAGTTAGACATGAACTTTAGGAGTGTCACAGTTAGTTCAAGAAGTTAGACATGAACTTTAGGAGTGTCACAGTTAGTTCAAGAAGTTAGACATGAACTTTAGCACTGGGTCACAGTTAGTTCAAGAAGTTAGACATGAACTTTAGCACTGTGTCAAAGTTAGTTCAAGAAGTTACCTGAAACATCTAAGATTCTTAACGTCATTTGGGTATGGGAGGTGTGGATTCAACCATTTGGGGGTACCAAAAAATCGGGGGGGCCCCCTCGGGTTTGGGGATAACAAAGGGGTTGGTGGAGGGTACTTTTTTGGGGGTTATCCACAAACTTTTAAAGGGGAGCCCTTTTTGGGGGAGGCCCAAAAAACTGGGGTAGTTAGTAGGAAAGGTGGGGGGAAAAAAGGGGTTTGGGGTGAGGTTACACGCAGTGGTCAGGAAAGGATGGGTTTGGGGGCATTTGTCGTGGGTAAAAGAGAAAGGACGTGTAAGGTTAAAACGAATTTTTCAGGCCAAAATTTTTAAAGGCCCCGGTATTGGGGGTCGAGAAAGGAAATGGGGGGATTCAGCACTTTGGGTTTGGGATAACTCAATTTACTAGTTTGGAGGTTCAGCCGGGTCAGTGTGTGGGTTTCAATGAACAAGACTGGTGGTGAAGGTTTCAAGATGTTCAGAGTGGGTTCAATGTAAAGACAAGGACTGGTGTGAAGAGGTTTAAAAAGTACTGTCAGTTGTTAAAATGCAGACAAGGAACTTTGGAGGTCACACTGTCAGTTGACATGAACAAGGACTTGCAGGTGTTGACGATTCAGATGTACAGTTAGTTCAGAGAAAGACTGGTTGTGTGGGTTCAATTTAACTGTCAGTGAGGGTCATTGCAAAAGAACAGGAATTTTGGGGTAGAGTTCAGATTAGACATAAATTTGGGGTCAAGAGCAAAAGGACTGACTTTGGGGTTAAATTTATGTAAAGTGTTGGGACATTAGCACAAATTTGTGAAGTTCCAAAAAACTGTCACAGTTGTTGGTGCATGCAGCACAAGGATGTTGTTGAGGTTCAGTACTGTCAGTGTGGGGTCACAGCACAAGGACTGTTGTGGAGTTCAGTACTGTCCAGGTGTGGGTCATGCGCACAAGGACGGTGTGGGGGTTTTCATGTACTGTCAGTGTGTGGGTCATGCAGCACAAGGACCTGGTGTTGGAGGTTCAGTACTGTCAGTGTGTGGGTCATGCAGCAAAAGGGAAACTGGTGGTGGAGGTTCAGTACTGTCGGGTGGTGGGTCATGCAGCACAAGGACTGGTTGGTGGAGGTTCAGTACTGTCAGTGTGTGGGTCATGGCAGCAAAAAGGACTGGTGGTGGAGGTTCAGTACTGTCATGTGTGGTCATGCAGCACAAGGACTGGTGGTGGGGGTTTCCAGACTGTCAGTGTTTGGGTCATGCAGCACAAGGGAAACTGGTTTTTGGGGGTTTTCAGTACTGTCAGTGTGTGGGTCATGCAGCACAAGGACTGGTGTGGAGGTTCATACTGTCAGTGTGTGGGTCATGCAGCACAAGGACTGGTGTTGGAGGTTCAGTACTGTCAGTTGTGGGTCATGCAGCACAAGGCGGGTGGTGGAGGTTCAGCACTGTCAGTGTGTGGGTCATGCAGCACAAGGACGGGTGGTGGAGGTTCAGTACTGCCCAGTGGGGGTGGGTCATGCAGCACAAGGACGGTGGGGGAGGTTCAACTGTCAGTGTGTGGGTCATGCAGCAAAAGGGAAACTGGTGGTAAAGGTTCAGTACGTCAGTGGTGGGTCAGGGCAGCACAAGGACTGGTGGGGGAGGTTCAGCACTGTCAGTTTTGTGGGTCAGCAGCACAAGGACTGGGTGGTGGAGGTTCAGTACTGTCAGTGTGTGGGTCATGCAGCACAAGGCCCGGTGGTGGGGGTTCAGTCTGTCATGTGTGGGTCCATGCAGCACAAGGACTGGGGGTGGAGGTTCAGTACTGTCAGTGTGTGGGTCATGCAGCACAAGGACTGGTGGTGGAGGTTCAGCACTGTCATGTGTGGGTCATGCAGCACAAGGGACGGGTGTTGGAGGTTCAGTACTGTCCAGTGTGGGGGTTTCATGCAGCACAAGGACTGGTGGTGAGGTTCATACTGTCAGTGTGTGGGTCATGCAGCACAAAGGCTGGTGGTGAAGGTTCATACTGTCAGTGTGTGGTTCATGCAGCACAAGGACTGGTGGTGAGGTTCAGCTACTGTCAGTGTGTGGGTCATTGCAGCACAAGATACTGATGGTGGAGGTTCAGTACTGTCAGTGTGTGGTCATGCAGCACAAGGACTGGTTGTGGAGGTTCAGTACTGTCAGTGTGTGGGTCATGCAGCACAACCCTTTGGGTGGTTAAGCGCTTCAGTACATTGTCTGTTGGGTTCCCATGCAGCACAAGGACTGGTTTGTAGGTTAAATATTTGTCAATTTGTGGGTCATGCAGCATCAAGGGAACTGGTGGTGAAAGTTTCAGTACTGTCAGTTTGTGTGGTCATGACGCACAAGACTGGTTGTGAGAGGTTCATACTGTCAGTTGAGGGTCAAGCAGTACAAGGACTTGTGGTGAGGTTCAGTATGTCAGTGTGTGGGTATGCAGCACAAGGACGGGTTTTTGAGGTTAAGTACTGTCAGTGTGACAGGATCAAATGCAGCACAATGAACTTGGCGGGTGGTTTCCGTACTGTCAGTGTGTGGTCATGCAGCAAAGGACGGTTGTGTGAAGGTTCAGAAACTGTCAGTGTGTGGGTCATGCAGAAACAAGGAACTGGGGGTGAAGGTTAAAGTTACTGATCAGTTGTGGGTCATGCGTCACAAGGTACTGGTGTGGAGTTACAGTACGTCAGTGTGTGGGTCATGCAACAAGTGACCAGTGGTGGAAGGTTAGTAACTGTCAGTGTGTGGGTCATTGCAGCACAAGGAACTGGTGTGGGAGTTCAAGTACTGTCATGTATTGGGCCCATCAGACAAGGAATGGTGGTGAGGATCATGTACTGTCAGTGTGTGGGTCATGCAGCACAAGGACGGGTTGTGGAGTGTTCAGTACTGTCAGTGTTGGGTCATGCACACAAGGACTGTGGTGAAGGTTCAGACTGTCATGTGGGGTTCATGCTGGCACAAGGACTGTGGTTGGAGGTTCAGTACTGTCCAGTGTGTGGGTCATTGCACAACAAGGACTGGTGTCGAATTCCATACTGTCAGTGTGGGGTCATGCAGCACAAGGACTGGTGTGGGGAGGTTCAGTACTGTCAGTGTGTGGGTCATG